ACAAAGACTTTTTGCAAAGTTGTCTTATGTTCTGCTGCCCATTGTTTCAGCTGCGTGTCCATGTTTTCTTGGTGACAAAGTTTAAGCACCTTAATAAAGTTAAGCAAGCGGTAAGCAGCTAGTAAGAGCCGTCGCAAAGTTCAGACAAGTAACCGGCGAGGCCCACTTTAAACCGTGACTGAAACAGAGCGACATCTCTTCGCTGCAAAGCAAAGATAAAGAGGAGAGACGGCTCACTTTTACTCCGTGTCTGTAGTTGTGATTCCTGTGCACACAGCTGGTTTGTTGCTATAGAAACATGTCACCTAGCAGCAGATGCAGTTGCCATAGGGACAATAATCTGGTGTGATGTGTCATATGGAAGTGGGAATGTGTGGTAATCCTTAAAAACACCTGTCACTGCTCAAAGACAGAATAAGTGCAGGGTAAACACAGAGGTGTTGAAATGCAGTGGGTGAGGAAAAGCTACAGCACAGGGTGGAAAACATTTATCAAGATGTTGGAGTGAGTTGTTTAACGTTTGAGGATGTCGGAATGGCTTTAATATCATCCCTGCCTGACTGTGACTGGTATTCTGTAACAACGAGAGCAATTTATTCATTACTGAGGTGATCGCACGGCTAATTCATTATTCACCAAACACCCCTAATGGAGATTTCACATTTTTACAAGCTAAGGGGGAGAAAAAGGATGTGAATTCAAACACGGAACTTAATGTAATGGCAGAACTGATGGGACGCAGTTATTTTTAAACAACTAAATCCTTTGCCTTCGAAGAACGATTAATATGCACGATGAACTGACGGTCTGTTAGCAGTCGAGCTCGCTCTCTGAATATTAGCTCCTCATTTGATTTAGGCTCTCGTCTCATTGTGTCAGAGCCAGAGTGGTTTCTCGTTAGGCTTCTGGTGTGTCTGTTACTGCAACAGTTCTTCCTCTCCGCTCTGCATGTTTCTCACTCCCAACTCGTTGAGACTGCAGTGCAAAACGCACCAGGCTTGATTCCCCTCATTTCTCTCTCTCTCTTATCTTGCTGATCGCCAGATCTCGCTTCCCTTGCTTGCCGCCACCTTTGTCTCTTAGGAGCTTTCTTTTCGGCGAGGTTGAGGTCATGACTCATCGTCGCACCTTGGCAGGTGCAAGGATGAAAGCACTTCCTTGTTCCCTCTCTGTTCCCCCTTCTTTTCCTCACTCAGTCAATTTTCTCTCTATAATCCCTGTTTCCTGTCCTCTATCTTCAGCCGTTCCTCTTATTCCTGGAATAAGACATCTCTCCTGTTGCTGAAAAACGCTGTGTGGGTTCATGTTTGACGCACGTCGAGGAGCAAAAAGGAGAGATCTGAACCAGATCAAACCCGAGAAAAGTGGCTGCTTGTGTTTATCCTTGTGTGTGATTCACCATCTGTGATAAAGCCCTCTTTGGTAACCGAAAGGATGATTGACAAGATAAATATATATATGTGGCTGAAGGAGAAAAGAGGGGTAGGAGGAGAGACCCTCCGGTGCTTGGCAATTTTTGGCGTCCTTAGATTTGTTAGCGCTTTTTGTTATTCCTTCAGGGTACAGCCGAAAGGGAACGAAAGAAGAAAAACAAGAAGTGACCAAATTAGACCGATTTAAAATTAGAGAACGGATAAAAATAGAAGGAGGAGACAACACGAGATGGGAGGGGGAGCGAGGTAATCAACGTGAAACCAGATCCGGGAAGGAAATTTTCAGACCTTCAAGCTTATTCTAATGTCAGACAAGGGTAATCTGAGTCCATGCAAAAAAGTTTACAAATGATCATTTGAAAAATAAGATCAGTCTAACCAATTGCTGTGCTGAGACTGTGATGAGAGGGTTGGAGGGGAAAATAACTCCATGTGCTTCTGGGGTAAAAATCAAAAGTCATAATTTCAGGAAGGTTTTATCAAAGATGTTGCTTCTGGACTGTCATGGCAATGAAACAACTTATTAGCAACAACAAATGTTACCTCATGCACACCTGATTACATGGTGATTAAGTAATTAGACATTTATTACTTCCTAAGCAGTTCATTATAATATTTCTGATTGCAGTGAATATGGATTAAGAATAAATTTTAGATCAATTGCCCAGATTTCCACTTGAGGACACGATGGTTTTCCTCAATTACCATTTAATTTAATTGTACTTAAACAGCTCATTTGTGTCCAATACTGAAAAAGTTGATCATCTGAAACATGTAAGTGTGACAAGAAGCCAAAGCAGAATAAAAATAGCAAGAAGTAAATACTTCTTTACAATATCTTCGTTCATTATCTCCAAATTTTCTCACTGAATGCAAGCAAGCAGCAATAATTGTCCCCTGAAAACACATATACACTGAACGTTGTGCATCTCAAAGAATTAGCGACGCTTGTTAAGTATTTGTCCTAGTCGATCATTGCTACATGAAGCTAAGGTGATTGAAAAAGCATTCATAGTTTGGTTTTAGGGGCCTTTAGAGATCAGAATAGTAAAAAACCTTTAGAATGAGGTTAATGAAACCAAGCAGCAGCTGCTCTGATTGCTCTGCTTTCATTTCCTCGTGCTTTTCATTAAAGTTTAACAGCATTATGAAAGTCTAACCTGCTTGAAAAGCATAAGAAAGAGCGCTGCTTTTTCTTCTTGTCTTTCTTCTTCTGCTCATGTTCGCCTAATGACAGACTGACAGCTTGAGTGCCTCGCTCTCCGCTTATGACACAGACTGCTTTCACAAGATGAAGTCGTGCTTTCTGGTCCAAAGTTCAGTGTAGGACTAAAGATTGAATCAAAAATTGTTGATTGTGAGTTTTTTTTTTTTTTTTTGGAGGGTTCTTGCGTCTCAACTCACACATATCTCAGCTTTAACAGGGAAGATGTGATTAATGGACTAAACACCAGTATATGCATGAGGTTAAGTCTGCTGCCAAAGGACACAACAACACAGAAAACAACTTTGCAATGCACAAACTCTAAGGACTGAGCCAAACGTTTGCACAAAAAAACCTTAATCCTCCACGAGGACAAAGATAATGCTCATGTGAAACCAGATTATAGAGCATTTGAACCCAAATGAAGGCTCTTAAAAGTAATCTGGTGTTTGTTTCAAGCTCTTTTTTAATAGCTATTAATAGACATCAGAGCTGGTGGAGAGCAGAGCTGAGGCTTCATTTAAATGTTGTTACATTTGCATAACTTTACGATACGTAAGGAAAGGAGCAAAAACTGAAATGTAACAAAAACAACAAGGTTTGACAGGGACTTGGGAGCTGATCTGGTCAGTGTAGCATGTACGTTTCATTTGCACTGGCTGAAACACACTCTGAGCAGATCGTAGTTTCACTTTCAAGCATTATCTGTGGCTTTAGTCATCACTGCTATGCACTGGTAGCCATATTTAAATTACAGAAAGGATGTTATGATTCCTTACAACAAAGTTCGGCAGCATTGTGAGAAAGGGTGTACTCTGATTATGAAGTGTCCTTGCATAGAAGCACATTCTGAACACTGCAGATGCACATCCATGGATATCTGCTCACCGAAGCAGCTGGTAGTCTGTTTCCTCTTTGCTAATATGTGTTTTTGTTTTAAATTTTTGTCATTCTTGTCTGTCTGCAACATCCAGACTCCAGATTTTTTTTATTCTTTTGGTTTCTCGACTTCTGTTCCTCAGGATGCCAAATGAAATGTCTTTGTGCTTCTGTGTCCTCCCTGGCTCTCAGTTCGAAGCTTGCAGGTACACTGATATTATTCAGATCAGTGCCGCTCCACTTAGTGGGAGGGATGCTGTGTCGGGTAGAAGAGTCCCTCTGCTCAGCCAGCAGACGTTCATTAGATGTGTAACGCGCCGGGAGCCCCTTTTCATCTACTGGACTGCTAATATTCTTTGCATTACTACAAAGGATGATGCAAATGTGTGGTATCTAACATCTCTGCTTTATGTTATCTGTTTTAAGAGATTCATACCTGCAAAACATGCTGTGCCTTCTGGGTGTACTGCATCCATTAAATTTTTTTTTTTTTTTTTTTTTTTCCACAATTATATATCCAGGAAGTCCCATTGAGACTTGGCCCAGATCACAGCCACACAAATCAGAAGTAAATAAAATAAAAAATGTTACGTACAAAATGGAATGACAAGCACATTTACATAACACTTCCCCATTAAAGTTTATTTTATAAATCACCTGAAATGTTCACAGATGTGAATGTGGCATGGTGCGCTTTGGGGAAAACCCTGGAAACCTTCAGAAACTGCTGATTAGAGCCGACAGAGCAGTGGGAGTTCAATGGGTCGATCCTGATAAAAACATACCAATGTCGTCGTCTGCTGCTGGTTAAAACTGATCCAACCAACCACATCACAGACACTGCAGTGATGAGTCAAATCCTGCACTTGAACTGAAATGTGAAGAAGTGTGTTGCACCAAATCAAGGCTCCTTTTAGTGGATACATGAATACATGAACACTGTATCACCACAATCAATAATACACAGAAAGGTGGTTTCGTCCTGTATTTTTCTTTGAAGGGAATTTTACTTATTTATTAATGTTTAGATGTCATGTTGTAGAATGGGGAAATGTGTAGCAAATAGGAGCAGATGAGCATTTTTTAGTGTAGTTTGGATGAAGAGAAAATAGACTGGACAGCTTCAAAGAAAATATTAATAATGGATAAAACGTTCCAGGCTGGTCATCCATTGTATGAATTCAACCATTATCAATGAAATGATGTGCTTTTATCACTGTTCTGCAGAAAGTTCTCTCTCCTCGTATCAGTTTTCGTCTTCTGCGTACCGGTTATCCTGACGTTGGCTGATTTATGGGTTTTGATTAAGCAGAATGGTGGGGAAATATTGGGATTGCATGATTTTGCAGCATTAAACTGAGTAGAAAAAGGCTTTTGCAGTGAATTTATCATCTGTCATGTTGAATGATTAACATGATGTAATTTTTATTTTTTTTATTAAGAGCCACAAATTAACTCAGCGACCTCCCAATGTGTGTCTGCAGGTAAAGGATGACTGCGGCAGCAGGTGTACTGACAGGCTTGGCCAAGCTCAAGCGCCAGGACTCGGCCCGCTCCCAGCATCGGCCCGTTCCACCCGCGTCACAAGGCCTGGCTCACCCCGGCTCCGAGGGCGCGCCCAGGTGATGCTTCTTTAGGAATTTAAAACAGAAATTTTCTTTCAGCTGTGCAACTTTTGTGTGTGTATGTGTGTGTGTGTTTGTGTGAGTGTGCGCGCGCGCACGCGTGTGTGTGTGTGCGTGTGTGTTGAGTTAAAAAAGTCGGCAGCAGATTTTTTTCGACAAACGAGGGGCTTCCGTCAACGGCTTTCTTTTCAGTAAATCTTAAGAGTCTGAAACCTTATAAAACTTTCCCAATGACTCAAATGTTCTGATATCATGTTCTGCAGTGTGTGCTTCAAACTTCACCTGGAAAGTATAGGAACAAATGAAAAAGCCTCCGATGCAACTATCTCAAACACATAAGCTGCTTTAGATTTCTGATCGAAAAAGCCATCGAACACAAAACAAAATCTTATAAATATGTTCCAGGAATGTTGTCCAAGACCAATAAAAGAGTAGAAGATAGTATGGTTTCTTTGAACCAATATATAAATCAATACATTTTGTGCCTCTCACGTTTCTCTTAGAAAGCGGAAGCGACGCACAGACGTTGTGGTGGTCCGAGGAAGGCTTCGACTCTACTCGGCTTCTGGCTTTTTTCTCTTCCTGGGACTAATCATCTTGGCAGTAGGGATCGGTATGGCGACCCTGGGTTACTGGCCGCACAATAAAGCCGCACCGACAGGAGGAGGAAACGAAGTGAAGGTGGGGAAGGGTGCGACCAACGCAAGCCATGATGTTCAAGGTAACATTTAGATCTGGGTGAGTTCACAAAGCTGCTCCGAGACGGATTTCTTTCAACTCTTTTTACTCGTTTTTCCCTGCGCTCTGGTTTTAGACTCGCCTTCGAAGCAGGCGGGCGGCGCTCTGATGCGGTTCCTGGAACAGCATCTTCACTCTGAGAGGATGAAGATGCTCGGGCCCTTCACCATGGGCATTGGGATTTTTATCTTCATCTGCGCTAATGCAATCCTTCATGAAAACAGAGATAGGGAGACTAAGGTAGGGAGGAAATTTTCTCAGATCGTACATCAATTTCCCTTTTGGATCAGATAAGTTAAATAATGCTTGCAAGTGGATTTTACTTTGTGGATAAGTAATGATTTAAATTATTCCTCGCCAGTCCCATGTTCACATTCCTCTTATTTCTGTCTCTTTATGAAGTGAGAAGCATGTTCTCTGCTCTCAGCACGTACCGCACCCCCTCTAACACCCAGATTTGATTTCTCTGGACCTGCTTTCACTTTCATGTCTGCAATTTGCTTTTGATGACATTTTCTCGGTTCATCTGGTCTTTTCTTCCCCTCCTTGATTTGATCAAACCCCTCCTCTCAGCATCTCCCTGTCCTAGTTATCCGAATATATGCAGAGTTATCTATTGTAATTGAGGCCTTGCACACATGTAGCCGAGTCTGTACAGACGGGATCGGGTTACGAAAAGAATTACGCCAATGAGCGTTGTTCTAAACATGTCAAACCCATAGTGTAGCGCAAAGCTACAACGTATGTCAACCAATCGCAACCCTTCAAAAAACAACCACGACTTCCTGTTAGGAACATATGGCGGCAGGAAGTAGATTTGGGTGGACAGGCCGAGAGGTTGAACTACTTTTAAATACCGTGTTAGAATATAAAGTTAATAAAACACAAGATAACGTTAATTGGGGATCATGTCGAAGTAAGTACACCAACGCATGAGGATGTTGAGCAGCTTTATGCCTGCACACTGGGAGGGACACCTGCTGGAAAACAGCTGACCTCTCAGTGGTCTCCCTCCTTTGCAGCTCAACATTTTGGAGCAGCTTTTGTACAAACGAACAAACAAAACGGGATTGAAATGCGTCGACCTCTAAACCTCCGATTTTTATCGCACACACGCAAAGGCAAACGAAGAGAATCCTTAAATCTCCACGTTAGTCAGAGTTTGGAATAAGCGTTTTAAGTCATGTTAAATGGAGTTTATGTGCCAAAATCTATTCAAATCTATTCGGTTTCTCAGAGATCCAGCTATTATGTGGACGAGGCCTAAATGTGGCAAACGACTGCAGGTGATTCGGGCTAACCCAGCTGTCCTCTGCATTAGATAATCCACATGAGGGACATGTACTCCACGGTCATCGACATCCATCGCCTCCGGCAGAGGGAGCAGAAGCAGTACCATCACCGCAGCAGCGACGTGGCCGATCTTCGAGGTTTTGGGGCTGACGCAGCGGCGCGCCTGGCCAGCAACTCCCTCCTGGGCTTCTCGTCTCGTTCCGGAAGCAGAGTCGGGTCCACGGAGGAGGAGGAGGTGCTGCTTGGGGATGAGGAGGTCCATAGACACAGAGAGAGGTTGGATTGTAGCTTTGCGGGACTGCTGGCGCCCTTTTACGGTGCCGGGCTTGGGCTGTCACAGTGCGACTCAGTGCGACACCAGTGGTCAGTGGACGGAGATGGGGAGAAGGGAGGACACCATGCGGGGTCTATTGTCTCCTCCTCCATCTCTGCCTTTACTCTCCCTGTTATTAAGCTAAACAACTGCGTAATTGATGAACCAGAAATGGAGGCGATTACCGAAGAGGACAGAGGAGGTGAGAGGAGGGAGGGTGAGAGGCCAGCGCCTCTGAGCTCCATGGAGTCTCTGGTGGTGCCAGTAGCATCCGTCGCCAAGGCCTCCAAGCCACCGGGCCTGCAACGCAGCAACTCTGCGTCCTCCTCCTCCCGCTGCTCTCCCTTCTCCTCGTGCAGCCTCTCCCCGGCCCCCTCCTCTACCTCAGGCTGCTGGCTCTCGCCGGGAGCGGCGAGGAGCGACTTCGGCTCCAACTCCTCTCTGCACATGCTGAACAGCCACAGCCACTCCAAATCCCTGGACCTGGAGCGCGGGCCCAGCATGCTGAGCGTGCGCTCGGAGCAGCGGAAGCACCCCAGCTGGCCGCGGCTCGACCGCAGCAACAGCAGCCGCAGCCACGGCGGGACCAGAGGCAGCAGCGGCAGCAGCAAGGGATACACGCGCCTGGAGGACAGGGAGGACAGGGAGGAGCGGCCCTCGGATGCGCCGGCGTCCCCGACAGACAGGCGCGATTACAGCAAGCGAGAGAAGCTGCTCATGATATCCAGGTCGCATAATAATCTGAGCTTCGAGCAGGAGGAGTTTAACAGCAGCACGCTGAAGAGAGGAAGCTCAGAAACACGATTCTGAGCGAAGTAAGAGGCAACACCAGCTCTCTCCTGGTCTGCAAAATTGTTCTTCATGCTGTCTTAGTTGACGACCTTGAGACTAAGTTGTGCTTTTAAGACAAGGTTGTTGTTTTCTTTTAACAACGAGCAATAGCACCAGTAAAGTAAGATTAGAACCTGCACAGCAAACAGGTTTGCACTTAAATGGCTGTCTGACCCCACAGGCCAACTTCACGGCAGTAGAGGTGCTGTTTTACAGCTGGAGCTCCCTGCAGGGATCAATGCAACGACTTCCAGATTACATGAATATGCTCTGCAGTTTAACAAACTGGACCAGGCTTCAGACAGCGATGTTAACTCAAGACGGTGCCCTGCGAATAAATACAACAAAGAGGCCCTCATTGCCCTGTGGCCATGTAATATTGACCTTTCCCAGGAACTTCAGAACAAAGATGGCTGCAAATACCAACAGTTTGGTGTCTGTGGCTCTGCTGCGGGCATTTTCAGCTAACTGCTGGGTTAGATTTTACTCAGGATTAGTCAGCTTTATATATGGCCACAAACCCACTTAGAGTGCAGAAAATCTCTTGTTTTATCAGTAGCAATTGTGTCACTGATTGAAGAATATTTTCAGAAACATTTTGCAATAACTCCTAAAAGAATCGGACATCTTGTCCTGCCTTACTGTCCAATTCCTAAAACCAAATGTACACATTCATTCAATAATTTGGCTATGGTTTAATAATCATATCTGAACCCAACCTCATCTACGACGTAAAGAAATACCAAAATTGGAAAGGAATATTTTTTGCTGTAACTGCATTTCCAGCTGTATCTGGAATGGAAATGTCGGTCAGGACTCAAGAGAAATGATGTGGGACTGAAGTGTTTCTGGTCGCGTTTTCATAAATCACCATTTTGAAGCATTTTTACACACATTTGTTTCCAAAGATTGGCACATGTAAATAGTTTTTGTCCCATCACAAGATGCCGCCAGGCATTTTCTTCCATTAAACTGAAAAGAAACAGAACATAGGGATTTGTGAAGCAGCTGAAACTGTCCTTGAATACAGAACGTAGAGCAATGCAGCTACTTCTCCTGGTAATGTTTTTATTTATTTCACCTTTGCTTATTTAATTCTTGTCAATTACAAAGCAAGTGAACACATAATTAAGTTTATTGGAAAACTAGAATATGAATATCCAAACACTGCGACAAACAAACATCAACAACAGACACGGAAGAAGAGACGCAATCATGAGGATGACTGATAATTATCCAGCACACATTCTCCAAAAAGACACAAAAAAAATCACTACCAGGTGAGCTGGTAATGATGTGTCCAAATCGGTAGATGGAAAGTTGAGTGGAAGGAAAAAGGGTGGTTGAAAAGAGGATTCATATGATACAGGGGTTTCACTTCTTTTTGGACTGAATTACTGAAATAAAATCAATTCTCGATGATGTTCTAACTTATCTTTTTTTGAAGTTCGGTTTGGGCTGCTAGATAAAAGTCACGAGACACATTGTGGCAGCCATCTTTGTTGACGCCTCTGTAAACGTCTTTTATAGTAGCATTTTCCGCTACGTTTGAACCACCAAGGTCGTATAGTAAAATTGTTTTACAGTCGGATGTGTGTTGAGAATCTTTCTCAGACGAACTAGTTTCTAGTGGTCTGTGAGTCACTGTTCAATTTTGTTGTTTTTTTGTTTCTCAGAATAAAATTTATTTTCTCTGAAAAGCGTTGTTCTTATTACTTTAAAAAAATCCCACCTGTTTCTGCAGGGACGTAGAAATGAATGCTTTTTAGCAGCTGGTGGCTGCAGATGACAGTGAAAGATTGATTTGCTGCTACATCAGAAAATTCAAACCATAGGAAGTGATTTTAAAACAGTGGCATCATCTGCGGTGCGAGAGGATCAGTGTGAAACTTTTTTTTATGCTTCTGTTCTCATTGGTTAGCCATAGCAGCAGAAGGGTACAAATATTTGCTGCAGTCTGCTGCTAAGTATGTTCGTGATGACACACAGTCTGTATCATGAGATAGAAATTACTGGGAATATGTCATCATCACCATTAAACATATTAGTTCTCACATTTAATAAATTAGAATATGCATTCTGATCAGGTTTCTCAAATTACAAGAACATAAAAAAAGGCACAAACAAATATGAAACTTAGCCCATGTTTCTGTTTTAAAAATGTTATTTCTTTTTGGCTTGGTATAATATTCTAATCTTAAATATTTGTGTTTTCATTAGCTTCAAAAAGACAATAATCATAATTTACATGCTAAAACAAGTTGTTAGTGAGCGTGTCTGGTCTGCATGTGTTGTGAAAGAGTTGAAGTTGGTGTAAACACAGATAACCCAATAAAAGTTGTTAGTGAAATAAGTCAACTTTTTCAATAATCCTCTATTGAATATGACTGTATATTGAAATTTGCCAGATTCCGGCTCTGTTCCTGATGACGAATGGTTTGACATTTTCAAATGTTACAGGCTATGAAATAACTATGCAATTCCCTCTTACTCTGTCAGTGTCATAGAAAAGATCTGACTGTAAAAGTCTCAAGTCGCACGCGTTCTTAGATAAACATGATCACGTTTCCTGTTAAAAAATGGATAACCTTTTAACGTCACTCACGTGTCTGCATATTTTGAGGCACGAACTGGGAACTTGCAGAAACGTGGCTGCCTTTGGGATTTACTGGACCCCAGGCTGCGTCTTTATTGGCCTGGACTCACAATAGTTCTCTGTTTTTGGCACAGAGGCATCGATCCCCTGGGGACGCTGAGCTGTTTTTCCTATTTCTGTATCAGACAATGGTACAATTAACTTCCTGGCCATCTCTGGGATCTTGGCTCTGCCTCCTGGCAACACACACAGATTTGGTATTACATTTCACAGAAATCCATCTCCCTTTCTCTTTGTGTGCAATTGTATTGCATGTAATCCGTGTTCTTGCGTAATAAGGCTTTAATTTAGTTGGACATCATTAGTTTGCGAACATGCATTAGCACAGTAACTCAACACATTTCAGTCAATGTTTAAGAAACGCATCTGGCACAAGAACTTGCTGAAATCAGCTATAAAGAGACCAGAAAAACAATGTGATATTGAGTTCCTCTTGCATTTTTACCACAGCGTGTCACAGGAACTTGAATAAACTTAAGAAAAAAAAAAGAGAGTAGATTTTTCTTTTAGGAAAAACAGCATAAAGAGAAAAAGAAACACCCACACACCGAGTCCAAAGACGGACAGCTACCAAGAAAACAGAAAACACCCTGGAGGTGGAAAAAAAAGGAAACAAAAAAACAATGAGGAACGTTTATCTGGGAAAGTACAAAGAATCACCTGATGTGTGGGAGTGGATGACAAAAGACCAACGGACAGAAATTAGGTAAAAAATGAAAAAGAGAAAGTAGCAGCTGAATGTCGTCTACACCGGCTTATCGACGCGGGGCTGTGGAGGGACTCAGCAGGTCGCAAGTCCCTCACATGGATACAGAGACACACAGGACAACACCCTCGCTCCTGAGGGGAATTTAGAAAAACTATTTCACCCAACATGCATGCTTTTGGACTGAGAAATCTGAACTCAAATGGTCAGACTCTAAAAGCAACAATGTCCACCGGAAGTCAGAAAACCAAAACGTAAACACCAGAAGTTTTGTTGAAACTGAATATTTTGGCCTGTCTTGAGATCAAGTTATGGATCCTGCAGCATCTGAAGCAGGAGAGCGTGACGCCAGAGTCTTGTTTACCCGAGGCAGTTTGTTTTCCTTCACCATTTAAATGCAAGGTAAGGCCTTTGCTTTAATCCCATTCCACACGTGCCAAAGTGGATGCTTTATTATTGTTTGAATAAATACAGATTCCCTCTTCAGTTGTTGCTCTTCACAGCAGAAAGACATAAAACAGGCACTTCTCTGAAGGAAAGGATATGTGGTACATGCAGATCACCAGACTTCACCGATGCTGTTATAAGCAGATGGCTGATGGCGCTAATGAGGGAACAGCGAAGGGTTTTTACTTTCCCGAAGGCAGAATGTGGAAATAGATCATGCCTGACCTACGCTGCGCCAACCAAGCAAAGTGCATGATGTAACAAAGGATATTATCTTAGCTAAAGAAATTGTGCACCTCAATTGAGACTGTTTTATTAGCAGCCTCAATACAGACCAACTCGTCTCCTTCCCGGTTTGTTCTGGTTCATTATCTCACACACACACACACACACACACACACACACACACCCACACACACACACACACACACACATACACACACACACACACACACACACACACACACACACACACACACACAAAAATAATAATAATGATGACCAGACAGATTTGCACATTTCAATGAACAACTTGTTCTCTTTGCATCCCCCATGCAGCACCCTCAGGCTTCAACAGCTTGCAGGGAATATGGGAACCAACCTCCTCCATCGAAAGTTTAGCTGCGAATGACATCACTTAAGTTTGTCCCGAAAGAACAGATGGCTAAATGATGCACACATCTGAATAAAGTGCCTCAAAATGATTCACTCTAGCCACTGAAATTAATCCAGAAAAGTGCCTTTCCATGGTTAATCCTCAATCTTCCGACAGGGGCGGGGGGGCAGACCAATCTCAACTCCCTCTCTGTCTGTCTCTCTCTTTCTCCGTGCTTTAGCACCACTTGCATTCATTTTATATCAATCTCCATCGTCTGAGTATCCCACAGGCAGACCTTCCCCACCTCCCAGGCCTTCTCGCACACTTTGAAGAGCTGTTGGCATTTCAGTAATTTCTAGTCAGCCCAATGTTTCATTTTTCAAAAGTGCATTTACGTGAGACGACCTCTGTATTTAAACAGTGGGTAAAATATGGGTCAGACACTCTGACATGTTTTCTCGGTCTCTGCCGCTCTGATGGGGCCTCTGGCATAAAATTAACATCGTGGGTTTTTTGGCAACAACCCAAGTAATCGGCACACGTGAAAATAAATAACAAGTGAGTCTGTAAATGGTGAGAGGAATCAAATTATTGACACAAAATTCACCTGGTGGTTTAGTCATCAAAACTGTGTGTGTACATACAGTTTTTGCTAAACTATAACAAAGTGCAGTCCTGTTTATCTGCATAGAGAAATGTGTACTTCACGTGAAATAACATTTATAAAGTTCATATCAGGTTCGCTGGACAATCCTGTCGGTTCTGACCTTTTCTGATGATTTGCGTTCAGACTAAATAAAGTCTTGAAAGGCCTTTTGAAAAGTCGCACAAAACAGAAAACTCATAGTCGCAGCAAAAGATGATGCAAACACATCAGCCACAAAACCAACATTAAATTAAGTTTCATTTCATGAGCTTTTATTTGCTTGCTTGAAACTTTTTGTGTGCTTTCTCTAATCGGCTGCAGAGGGCTGTGGGTGAGAAGTAGGTGTTTTGTGTATTAGAAAAAAAACAAAACATAAACAGTAGCAATGTGGGCACTTCGCTCACATCCTCAGCCATTAAACAGACTAATTACTACGACACATCTGGAGGCCAAATGAAATGGTGTGCGCAGTGGAGGCTGGTGGTGCGGCTGGCAGCAGGGGTGCACTGCATCAGCAGAACTGTCACAGATAAAAGCAGAGCGTCGCGGTTTGGATGAGCAACGCTGAATTAGTAATGGAAGTGAGTCATCCGCTCTCAAGCATATTGGCGTCCAGAGCAAATGAATGCTTGATTTTTTTTGGATTTTTTTTTTTAATCAAGTGGAAAAACAAGTGAATGTTTTTGAAATGTGTTTTGTTTGTAGATGTTCAGATGCAGTTACAGATTAACATCATAAGTGCGTCAGTGGCTCTGACCTCGCGCTGGTCCTGTTAACCTCTCTCGTGTCACTTCCTGTCCCAGTGTAGCAAATCCTCTGGAATCAAGTTGAAAACTGAGTGCATCACCCGAAGAAGAGCCTTATGGCGCTTGTCTGAGCGTGTGCTCATTTGTCTGTGGGTTAGCGCACTTGCCACAAAGGAGAGATGGGGGGGTGCCGGCCCAGTTGCCATAGCAGCGTGATATGTGCTCTGGACCCCTGCCTGAGGAGTAAACACACACGGGCACAAATCGAGCTTTTAAAAGCAACGCTCACCCCTCCAACCCCGCCAGAATCCCGGAAAAAGCTAAACTGAGCAGCAATTTGGTTGATTCAACCAACAGACTCCGCGACTGCCACAGAGATAACTGAAATACTGACTGAGGTCAGCAGCGTTTATGTGATGCATTGACCTCGATGTGCTGATGGGAGGAAAAGCTATGAGCTGCTTTATATGAACATAGTTCACATAATTGGTCGAAAATCCATCCTGTCCTTGTAACTAAGCTGACATGTGAGCGTTTTCACTGGCAGCAAGAATGAAATATAAGCTGATGTGATAATAATCCAGCACCTGAATAGGCTTTAAAAGTTTCCATCACGTATTTCAGGAATGACTCATTTCTAATTTCCGGCAGATATCGGCATGTAATCAGGGATTCAAATTGATTTAAAACATCTAAACCTGCCACCAACGCTGAGGCTTCAGTCTCAACTTCGAGAGAGATCATTATCCTGTCTTTGTTTTATGGATTACTTCTCTGCTTTCAGCGTCACTTTGAAGTGGAAAATTCACTGATCAAGCTTGAAAAGAACTGAGATTGATTAACATGAACACATGAAAACTGGTGTCTAAGTAAGTTTCGACTTGGCGTTGCATCT